ATTGGTACATTTTTCCCTCATCTTCTTTTCAAATGAGAATTTTGAAATCTGTTTTGGTTCTCCCGGGTGTCGGATTATCCATGCTATCAAATTGCTCCTTACAAAACATGACAATCAATAATATCCACACGCATAAAGTAAATAATGCATCATAAGTCAAAATCGTAATCTCTTTTGAACGGTATATATTCTAAATTTTATAATGAATTAATAAAAAAAACAGCACGATTTGGGTTCTTAGTGTGCTACATTACTTGAATTTTTGCGCCTTCTCTTATTATCTAGATACTTCTACTACAGACTCCATCTGACGGTCAACTAGAATACTCTCAGTTCACATTGCAACTGACAGTTTTCAATGTTTACATGATTTCATCAACTTCTATTCGTTAAATAATTGTGCGAAAAACTCGTGACAGGTGTGACAAAAAATAGTATATGCCACGCGGGAGTTTGCGATGACATTTTTGTCGAGGGGGTTATGTTGCCCGAGCCGAAGGCAAAACTCCCTTGTAGCATAATATACTATTTTTTTCTTGATATGATGTATCGAAACCAAAAAAAATTATAACGCTAGGGATATCTCATTTGCGACCGCAATTGTACCGTGGGAAGTCGATTCTTCTAATAAGCTCCATCTTTTCCATTATTTCGATCAATTATCTTGGAGCACATAAAAAACCCATAATTGTAGTTCATAGTACGACGCTTTAATCACCAATATTATTTTACTCACCCCTAATTGAATTTTCCCCTAGATGGGCGGTTTTCCTCATGCGGGCCTCTTTAGCCCTTTTTTTGCGCCTTTTTCTTGGAGCACATAAAAAGCACATAATCATGGCCTACTGTTTATAGCTGTTACCATTAATCCTGGCCTTCAACCCCTAAAAGTAATTTTCCCCTAGAAGGGCTATTTCTCCCAAATCAGCCCCCATCCTGCCTGTCCTCTCAAAGTAACCGAAAGCACGTAAAAAGCACATAATTATGGCATAATTTTTTTTCCGACCATCCCTAATTTTCCACCCCTTACCCCTAATTCCCGATCGGATGGAGCACCATTTTTTTTTGTTCGAGCACCAAAAAACACATAAAAAGCACATAATTATGGCATAATTTTTTTTCCGACCATCCCTAATTTTCCACCCCTTACCCCTAATTCCCGATCGGATGGAGCACCATTTTTTTTTGTTCGAGCACCAAAAAACACATAAAAAGCACATAATTTTGACAAAAAAAAACCCGATTTTTTTACCTTGCTCCGCTAACTTTATGGACGTTCAATATGGGCTAAGAAATCAACCTGAAGTATCTTCTGATTTATAAGCTAATTTCCTGCGTTCAGAAAATCATGAAAATCCCCATTTTTCCGAGAAATCCCATATGGGCTGGAAATTAGCTTATAAATCAGAAGATATTGCAGGCTGATTTCCTAGCCCATTTTGACAAATTGAGCGATTAAGTTTGATGTTTGGCCCAAAATATTTGAGCAGAAAATTTTTGCTTCACACAGAAAATTAGCTTATAAACAGCTGATAATTCTGGGCCAGACAGCAGGCCTAGTTAATTACCTTGGATGTGCCCATTTTCCAGCCCATATAGGATTTCCCGGAAAAATGAGGATTTTCATGATTTTCTCAACACATGGAGTTAGCTTATAAATCAGAAGATACTTCAGGCTGATTTTCTAGCCCATTTTGACAAATTGAGCGATTAGGTAGCCGCCCAAATCCTAAAGTTTGACTTTTGGCCCAAAATATTTGGACAGAAAATTTTTGCTTCGCGCAGAAAATTAGCTTATAAATAGCTGATAATTCTGGGCCAGACAGCAGGCCCATGCGATGATCTTGAATTTGCCCATTTTCCAGCCCATATGGGATTTCCCGGAAAAATGGGGATTTTCATGGTTTTCTCAATACAGGAAATTAGCTTATAAATCAAAAGATATCTCAGCGTGGTTTTCGAGCCAATTCTGATGACTTGGCCGCCTAGCTTAACGCCCAAATCCGAAAAATCGATTTTATGCCCAAAATATTTGAGCAGAAAATTTTTGGTTTGCACAGAAAAAAAAAGCTTATAAAAAGCATGTAATTTCGAGCTATTGACCGAGTCAATCCGAGCACCTTGGCTGCCTGGCTTGACGGAGCTTGACTTTTAGTATTTGGACATCTATCCTATGGGCCCATTCAACAGAAAGGGCCGGAAAATCACACTAGAGTATGCTTTAATTTGTAAGCTAATTTTCTGCGTTGAGAAAATAATGAAAATCATAATTTTCCTGCGAAAACCTTGATCGGCTGGGAAACGACGAGACCCAGAGGCATTGGAATGGGTCCTGTCCGGCCCGGATTCATCAGCTTTTTACATGCTTTTTTTTGCGCTAGCCAAAAATTTTCTGCTCCAATATTTTGGACCACAACTCGACTTTTATAATTTGGACATATACCTAATGGGCCCATCCAACATAATGGGCCGGGAAATCAAACTAGAGTATCTTTTAATTTATAAGTTAATTTTCTGCATTGAAAAAATAATGAGCAGGTAATTTTCCGCGGAAAACCTTTATCGGCTGGGAAACAATGAGATCCATGGACTTTGTATCGGAATCCTGTCTGGCTCAGATTTATCAGCTTTTTACATGCTTTTTTTCTGCACAAACGAAAAATTTTCTGCTCCAATATTTTGGGCCACAACCCGACTTTTAGTATTTGGACATCTATTCAATGGGCCCATTCAACAGGACGGGCCGGAAAATCACACTAGAGTATCCTTTGATGTGTCAGCTAATTTTTTGCGTTCAGAAAATAATGAAAATAATAATTTTCCCGGGAAAACCTTTATCGGCCAGGGAACGACAAGACCCAACGACATTGTATCGGACTTCTGTCTAGCTCAGATTTATCAGCTTTTTATATTTTTTTTCTGCGCAAACCAAAAATTTTCTGCTCCAATATTTTGGGCTAAAAGTTGACTTTTAGTATTTAGACACCTAGCCGATGAAACAATTCAATAGAATGGGCAGGAAAATCACACTGAAGTATCTTTTGATTTATAAGTTAATTTTTCAGCTTTGAAAAAATTATGAAAATCATAATTTTCCTCGGAAAACGCTATGCGATAATTCAATTTTCCGATACGCGTTCGATCGAATTTCTTAACAGTTTATGACGAAATTCCCCGAAATGCCACAATGTTCACGAGATTGTATAGAAGAGGAAGAGTCCCTAAAAAAAAAAGAAAATTCGCGAGATTTTTTTGAAAAATTAGCGAAAACTCGGAAGGTTTCTTGGAAAATATTCCAGTTTTCTTTTTTTTTAAAGAAAATTGGACGAAAATAATGGGTTGTAAGAAGGGGACAGAATGCTGCAGACAACGCTGGTGGGATCAGCTAGTATCATGAATACAGAGGAATCCCGGTGTCTGTACAACCACTTGTCCGCTCACTTCATGCGCGCAATTAGAAAATTTTTACGTCGACACGAAGAATTCAAAACCAGCTAAGAATTGTTTAAAATTTCTACAAAATTTGGAAACATTGCACGAATTGCGACTTGAAAATCTTAAAAAAATCTTCAAGATTGTCATTTAATTGTTGATAGATTAAAATAAATTCTATCAACTGTCGATAACGTGACAATAGAACTTTCTATTTTTCTCATCAATGAACTGTTATTAGTACTTACCAATTCGTATTTCAGCCCTACCGAAAGTTTCTGAAATATGTAACAGATGGATACATTCGACCTATCTATAACGCAATAGGGTATTTCAAGCGATCCAGCGGCGTGGAATGGTACACAAGCTCGCTCGTTTGAGGGGGAATTCCTATTTTTTAAGCAGTGAACCTTCGGTGAGGATGAAGGAAATTTGTATTTATGAATCTACGTAGAGGCTATTGACTCATTCGAAAATGAGAAACCATTTCCTTGATTGCACAACTTAAATATATTGTGACATTTTCAGATATTTCCAAAAATATCCAACAATGTGGAAAGGTGCGTGTTGTGACAACAAGTGACCCTCGACGTAAATGCTTTGATCTCGTGAATAATCAAATATATTTCTTCTGACTATGGCAGAAAACTCGATCTAGCTCTCAGCTTCTCAGTCCAGCTTGGCCTCCTCTCACACCGAAACACTAGTGCAAGGCCCCAGCTTACCAATTTGTTGTCGCTAGGGCTCGTGTATACCACTATCCTAATTCTAAGGACCAGGAGTGAGGTTCAGGGATCAGTAAGCGCGAGAAGAATAAGCCGTAAACTCGATTAACCCAGAGCGACAGAAGTATATTTTCCAAAATAAAAAAAATAGTAAAGTAAAATAAACAAGTGTAATGCTCCGGAGGGAGATACAATATCCGGAAACTAAACAAAATAAAGTAGACCAAAAGAAAAATCGATGGACCCAATGTCCTTCAGTGGTTGGGCTCCGGTTATTCATTTCCGGCCCAGAGAATTCAAAGAATAAATCAAAAGTCAATTGTTGGACCTCCAAGTCGCTCTGATCGTAGTTGCCTTTAAACTTAACCTTAATAATGTAATAATTATCAATTGATATTAAGTATCACAGTTCTCCGGTCCTACGCATCGAATTCTTCTGATACCTGAGAAGATTCCCCGCTAATACTGACAGAACCTCTCACGAACGGCCGTTATGTAGATGACATCTGCGGAGGCGCGGAGGATTATCAGGAGCTCGGGATGGTAGCATAGCAGGTCCGAGGGCTCTGCAATGCTGGTCAGTTTCCGCTGGCAAAGTGGCACAGCAACAGTCCAGAACTGTTCTCTTCGCTCGAGCCCGAGAACATCTCACACGAGCAACACGAATTTGAGGACTCGCAGACTAAGATACTTGGGTTATCTTGGCTGCCTAGTACGGATCATTTAGTCTTCTTATCGAGAGCACCAAGCAACGTCATCATCACCAAGAGGGCGATGCTCTCTGAGGTGGGCCAACTTTTCGACCCACTTGGCTTCATTTCGCCAGTTCTTATTAAGGCGAAGATGCCTATGCAGAGCTTGTGGGCCGAGAAGGTTGGATGGGACGATGAGCTAGCATCAGGAACACAAGAGAAGAGGTCTCAATTCCGAGAAGAGCTCACACATCTGGAGGAGATCAGAATCCCCAGATGGATTGGACTCACCAGAGCACCTGCAGTAGAGGTACATGGTTTCGCTGAGACATCGAACCTAGCGATGGTAGCAGTCGGCTACCTCAAGATCACCACCGAGCTGGGAGTATGGATCCCTCTCAGGTTTTCGCGAACAGCAAGGTAGCACTAACTCGAGCACTCGTCATTCCGAGGTTAGAACTCAACGCAGCAGTGATATTGGCTAAGCTCACCCAGTACACCCTCAAACAGCTGAGTATCACTGATGCACCAGTTTTCCTCTGGACTGATTCAGTAGCAGCGTATCACTGGGTCTCCTCCCATCACGCGCGTTGGAAGGAATACGTGAGGAACAGAGTCTTTAAGATAGAGCAAGCAGTACCTCAAGCACCTTGGAGATACGTTCCTGGGAAGTACAACTCAGCGGACCGTGCCTTCCGCGGAGTCTCAACAGTGTAACTCAAGAATCACCCTCTGTGGTGGTCAGGTCCAGCATGGTCTCAGCTCGAATCATCGAATCGTCCATCTCTCAACCCAGAACCCGAATCATCAGTCGATCTCGAAGAGAAACCACGAGTACTTCTCACGTCTCCGGTTAAGCAGCCGGAAGTCTGGGATTTGATTTACCGGTACTCTTCGCTGGCGAGACTCATTAGGATTACAACGATCTGCCTGAAATTCATAGCACGTCTCAATAAAATTTCAAACCGGTCTCTAACGACGGTACTCACGGCGGAGGATCTGGAATCAGCCAGATTGTGCTGGGTGAGGATCACGCAGCAAGCTCATTTTAAAAGAGAGTTTCTGCTCATCAGCAAGAATAAGATCTTGCTGAGAACACACCCGATGAGCAGATTCAACGCGCTGATCGATCGCCAGGACATTCTCCGACTATCAGGACGACTTAAGTTTGCACAGTTGGAACCGGAAAATATCCATCCAGCTATCATCCCGCGAGACTCCCATTTAACGCGACTCATCATCGGAGAAGCACACGAGAAGACTCTTCACGGAGCAACTCAAATCACCTCAATGCGCATCAGGAGATCTTACTGGATTATCGGCGAGAGAGCGCCAGTGAGATCCTACATCCTCAGATGCATCATCTGTGCGCGTCATAGAGGAATCAGAGCTCAACAACTCATGGGTCAGCTTCCGGCAGCACGTCTCCTCCCCTCAAGAGTATTGAGTATTTCTCAACACGGGAGTTGACTACGCAAGGCCAGTCTCATTGAGAACTTGGAAGGGACGTGGGCATAAGACAGTCAAAGGCTGACTAGCCATATTTGTCTGTATGACCACGTCCGCGGTTCATCTAGAAATCGTCTCCGACTACTCAACAGAGGCCTTCCTAGCAGCTTACCACAGGTTCATCAGTAGGAGAGGAGTCTGTAGGAACCTCTTCAGTGATTGTGGGACTAATTTTATCGGGGCTGACAAGGAGCTGAAGAGGCTCCTTTCCTCGGGATCCAAGGATGCCAGACATCTAGCACAGCTCTTACTCAACGACTGAACTCAGTGGTCATTCAACCCTCCAGGAGTACCGCATTTCGGAGGAAAATGGGAAGCAGCGGTTAAATCAGTCAAGCACCATTTCACCAGAGTAACTCGGGACTCGACACTCACCTTCGAAGAGCTCACCACCCTGCTTACCCAGATTGAAGCTATCCTCAATTCACGACCGCTAGTTCCTCTCACAGATGACCTAGATGACCTATCAGCACTCACTCCAGGTGATTTTCTCATCACCGAAGCACCTATCACAGTACCAGAGTCAGTGCTCGATCATCTCAACATCAACACTCTCCAGATGGCAACTCATCCAGAGCAGACTCCAAGCCTTCTGGAAACACTGATTCACGAGTTACCTGCAGAGCAAGCAGGCCATCACCAAGTGGCATAGTTCGAATCACAGCATCAAGGTCGGAGAACCGCAAAACCGTGCCGAAAAGTGAACTTGTTGGGCACATGTTACAAAAAAATAGTATGTGTTACACGTGCGTACGGAAAAGTGCTGCTTTACGTACTAGTAACACAATGTACTTTTTGGTAACAGAAAAACGTATCTCAAAAAAAAATCGAGATCAAAGTTTGACATTCTTTGTATGGAGGTAATTAAAAGGTGTAATTATCCCATACATATACTGCTTCTCTGCAGAGAATGATCCTCGATTCGACCCCCACTTACTCAAATTTCCACTTGTGCTTGTGTCCCCACTACTCGAATCGAGGTTCATTCTCTGCGGAGAAGCAATATAGGAAGGGGTGCTTAAATATAGAAAGTTTCAGGTTTGAGGAAGGGGGGTTCATATATGGAGATTTTTGAAAGGGAGGCTTAATTAATTGTGGAGCAGAGGTTTATATGGGTGATTTTATGAGAGAGGGACTCATTTGTGGGGAGTTCATCCATGGGGGGGGGGGATGTTTAAAAAATGTGAGGAGGTTAGATGAAAGGGGCATACATGGGGTGATTTTATATGTGAGAGGGATTTATACACGGAGGGGTGAAGGGATGGGAAAGGGTCTCATATTTGGGATTTTGGGAAAAGGGAGCTTCGCCTATGGGGAGAAAGTTTTACATGAGGGGATGTTTGTGTGGGAAAGGGTGCATGGGAGGGGGGTTGTACTGAAATTTCGATGTACAGCCCCCTCTCTCGCGTAGTGAACTTAGCTCGTCGGTAAGTTTTTCAAGCACATGTCCGGAACTAAAGGAGATGAGAAAGTTTTACTGGAAAATGAGGGGGGGGGGATTGAAAAATTGGGGGTTGTGTATTGAAAATTCACAAAACAATTGCGAACCCCCCCCCCCCTGTAGCGCCTCGCTACATCCACACTCACGTGTTAATACACGGACACAACAACGCGTGCAGTTGAGGCGACTGGACATCAGTGACATCATCGCTCTTTGTCACTCAACCGTCTAATGTATACTTCTCACTTGTCCCTATTGTATTCGTATCCGAATTCTCGCCTTTTGCGAATATTATATTCAGTCTGGCGCTAACCGCCTATTACTCTACAAGTCGACCACCCGACTTGCTCTCTACTTTTGTATATATATTTCTAGACGCGATTGAATAAAGGACAATTAAGACAACTAATTGTTTAGTAGTGGATTGATTAAACTTCCTGACAACACCTCAATCCCTACATTGGTTCCGATACTGGTTGGGGTCTGGGTGAGAGACAGATCTCGACAGAATCTCAAAGGGAAGCCGCCCTCTTTATTCGACAAAAGTGAAAACTCTTCGCAACCGCGTGCATTCATCATCGAAAGTTTTTACCCGCGCATCCCAGTGAAGTACATCCATCTTGGTGATCATCCACGCATCCTAGACTATCCAGTGCCGCACATTCCGCGAGTTCGAGTGTTAAATTTGATTCCCCGCGATAGAAAAACGTACAATTTCGTCGCGTGGGTACCCAACGGCATTGTACAAACGAGTGTCTCATGAATTCTGGAACATTCCAAGCGTCCGAGCGCCGAGCCTTGGTTTTGTTACGTCCCTGCGAAATCAAAACAAGTGCCAGTGGTCGTGCACTAACATCATGAGTGCGGCGATTTTATTTTTGTGTTATTGTGATGAGTACCAGCACATTGCTGAGCACCCAGAGACGTTGTGCTGTGCTGGTGATAATAAAGACTTCTAAATACTTTATTTTTCTCTCTCACAAGCGTCGATTTTATTTCATTTCGGATAAACTGTGAGATGACAACAACCGCGTTAACACAAAGACAAAGACAACGGTAGCAACGAGCAGCTAGAGGACAGTGACACACTGGCATGAGGGAGAGAAGAAAGTAACCTCATGCCACTCTTCTCCGATGGCAGCGTTGAGAACATCGGGCCGACTCAACGAGCTCATCTCCGCTAGAGCATCGTCGAGAATCACATACACACGCAGACATTACCTCTACCTTCAGGAATGATGGCCAGTTTGTTGGTACGAGGCACATCAACGTAGCGAAAATGGACACCGCATCCGCGGCACGGGCGCAGGAGGCTGGTCACCCCAACCGTAGTCCCTTCACATCTACACATGCCAACAGGATTTCACGGGCATCAGGGGATCTGGACCCTCGCCTACGATCTGCGACGACTTCGCGACATGAGGGAGACAAGAAAGTAACCCCATGTCGAACTTCTCCGATGGCAGCGTCGAGAACATCGGGCCGACTCACAGAGCTCATCTCCGCCAAACCTGAATGAGAACCTCGCCCTCTGGAATACGCGACGTCACATCGAACGCCGATAGACGTCTTCACCAGAGCATCACCTCTCTGACACATCATCGAAAGGCATCGCACACACCTGCATACACACACCATCGCAACACACGGCGACGGTAAACAAACACACCACTCCAAGCTCACGACCGTCTCAACACATCAGCAACCTGGGGAGCAGCCCACGCCTAGCAGAAGCTAGGGTGACGCAGTCACCTCCATCATAGAATTTTTTTTTGGCACAAGCTCAACCGTGATGAACGTATTAATTTTTTGTTTAATGTTTCAGTTTAGAAAAACTGCGTTTTTCACTAAGAAGGGGAGTCATGTAGCGCCTCGCTACATCCGCACTCACGTGTCAATACACCGACACAACAACGCGTGCAGTTGAGACCACTGGACATCAGTGACATCATCGCTCTCTGTCACTCAATCGTCTAATGCAGGGATGGGCGAAGTCGGAACCTCGGGAGCCACGGCCATAAAGCCCTATTAGACCCATTGTTCGGAATACAATACCCCAATTGCGTGAGGCCCAGCATAGTCAGAGTGGGGGTAGCAGCGTGCACGAAGAGGGGCGCAGTTAGACAGAGAGAGCGCCACGCGCTCTCCCTCAAAATTTAAAAAACCTTACCGCCTAAAAATTCAAACAAATTTTTACCAATTCAACTTGAAAAATGCTTAGTTGTACCGGGGGTAATTGTTAAAACATTATGGTGCCAGAAATTGATTATTTCTTAGTCACCTTAATATTGAATAATTATTTCATTGAAAATTGAAAAAAATATGAGATGTCAGTTCTTTAAAATTTAATTAATTAATTATTTATTTAAAGTTTAACTTATAAGTTTTGCCCACTCTTGGCCAGCATTTTTCATAGCTACTCAATGGAAACCACTGGAAGGTGGTAGGCGTATTCCGTCAGGAAAACACTAAAAGAAAAAAATGTTTTGATAATATGAAAAAAATTCTAGCCGCAAACTAATTGATCGTTAGCGATTAGATTTTTTGTAATTTTCGAAACCATTTTCTTCTCTCAGTGTTGGAAGGAAAGAAAATTAAGGAATGGGAAGGAATGGCGGGAAATATTGGGAAGATAAGAAAATTGCATGCACAACAACATAGAAACTCCATCCCCCGATTATTAATAAGCCATGCACCATACGTCATGCAATAAAAAATTATTAATGCGAAAAGTGGGACTCCATGGTAGCTGATAATTTTTCTAAATCCGGTGAATAATTACTTATTACAATTAATATTGAATCTTTGAGAGTCGAGTCCGATAAAATTGTGCGATTTGACGATTTTTCCTTACAATTTAATCTATTTTACACATAAAGTTCCCATTTTTTGCCGATATATGAGCCAAAAAAGACAACTTAAAACGATTTCACCATGAAAATTCTGCAAGGAAATTTCCCTCGAATGAGTTGTATGAACAAATTCTTTTAAGTTAATTTTTCCTATGAATCTATTTATTCTTTCAATATTCATATCGGAACAAATCCCAAATAATGGTCGGCCAAACACTAGTGGGATTTCCGTAGGAATCCAATAGAATTTCATTAAAATAAAAAACTAGGACTGTTTATTCGATTTTTTCATCTGTGATCATTTTTCAATTATCTTTGCTCGGTCACTCTTTGCAGCTAATTATTTTGATTTTTTTCTGCGATAATTATTCATTTTCGTGGTTAACTGGAAATGGATAAATTTTCAACGATTTAACAGTGGGATCGATATAATGAAAAAAAGTCAAGAGATGAAATGATCAAATTTCTTGTTTCCGTGCTTTTTTAAGGTCAAAAATCTTTTAAATTTAAGTAAGACTGTCACTTGCTGAACATTTAATTCCTGAAATGCGGAAAACACAATTAAATTTTTTAAATACTGCTTAGGGAATGTTCAAACAATATTAACAAAAATTAAAAAATCTTTTCACCAGTGTTTTTCAATTCATTTGCTGCCGAAATATTCAATTTGGAGTGATTTATTAAACGGAATTTTATGCAGAAGTTGATATAGAAAAAAATGAACAATTGATATTTTTTAACAATGCAAAATATATCAAGAAAAATATTCATATTTTTCTTTCAAAAATTCAAATTTTGTGCGTGTTGACTGACATAACGATACCCCCACTCTGACTCAAGCATTGGGTCTCGCCACTCCGACTACCTGCACAATACAACAGCACCCCTTTTTTTATGGTCATTGGCCTAATTGGGCTTGGGAGCTCGGTGAGCTTGGAGAGCTCACTTTGCCCAGGCCTGGTCTAATGTATACTTCTCACTTGCGCCTATTGTATTCGTATCCGAATTCTCGCCTTTTGCGAATATTATATTCAGTCTGGCGCTAACCGCCTATTACTCTACAAGTCGACCACCCGACTTGCTCTCTACTTTTGTATATATATTTCTAGACGCGATTGAATAAACAACAATTAAGACAACTAATTGTTTAGTAGTGGATTGATTAAATTTCCCGACAACACCTCAATCCCTACACCCCTCCCCCCTCTGCCCCATTTTTCCAGTAAAAATTGGCGATCTCCCTTAGTTTTGGAGATATCCGTGAAAAATTCACCGACGAGCTTGATCGACTACGAGAGAGGGGTGGCTTTACATCTGAATATAAGAGTTAGAATACAATGTTCGAAGAATAAGGGTCAG